CAAGTAGCACTTCTTACCTGTGTTTAGGTGACATTCACCCTATTTATACCCAAAAACGGTTAAAATGTGTCGTGTCTGCAGTCGAGTTCAGTAGCATTAAGTCTAATTATGTGTTCTTAGTGATTAAGGTATCGTTGGTCTTATGAGTTTAAAATTCGCATAACATTTTCATTTGTCGTCTTATAGTGTTTGTACATTTCCAAGTCAGCTTGTACTTGTTAACTATTGCTATCCATTACTACGTCTTCATTTTTGGTTTTTGTGCTATGAAATGTATGATGAACATTGTGATCTTCTCGATTTGTACGTGCCCAGTGACTGTTAAACGGAAGTATTATCGGATTTATCCATAATGGACGTGTCTGCAGTCGCAATGATGTTGTCGATGGCGCTATTTTCCTAGGGGATCCAGTAAGAGCCATTGGTTTGAGGGGAACTGAGATCGATGTAGGTCGAAATTCACTTTTTACCCCACGATTAAGTGTACGAAATTCGCAGGGTAAAGAGTGAGTTACTTCTTCTCTTCTAAGTCTGTGAATCTAGGGAAGATCTTCTTGGTTCACAGGTATAGAAGATCTTCTCTAGGTATAGGTAAAAATCCTCATCTCCTTGATGTAGTACCAGTTTTGCATTAAGAAACAATTCAAATACTGGTTCTAACTGCGATTGGTAACGGGTATTTTTGGGGTGGAGCGCTGTAGGGTTCGAAATGCCACGTCCAGTTCTATCCGGCGAATTTCGTTCATAGACTCGGGAGTTCTTTTCTTTGCTAGGCTTATCCAAAAGTCCTCATCTCCTTTACGTAGTACCAGTTTTGCTCATGGAGTTCTTCGAATGTCCCTTTTTATCCCTCTTTGTCGAATTGCGGTGTATTTTGGTGTGGAGCAGGCCACCGATTTGGAAAAAAAATCTCGTTAACCTCTAGAAAAGCGATACCTACCTCGTTTAGGAAAAAAAAAGAAAAATAGGAACCCATAATGAATGAACTGAAGCACTTATCCCATTTTCTTTTCCCTACGTTTGTGCAAAAATCCTCGTCCCGTGCTTCGCAATCATTTACTTGCTCCGAGTAGGGTCATGTTGACCTTCGAATGAGGCTGGAAATTTTTGTGAATGCCATTTCGTCGCACTTCAGAAACAGCGAAATAGCGATTTTAGGTATCGCGTGCAGAAGCGCAGTGCCAGTTTTTTTTTGGTGCTCGAATCGGTTGGCTGTGGAGCATTTGTGCTTACTGATAAGGCGACCCACGGATGCTTGGCGATTTCTGTAAATCGTGATGTGTTGTTATTGTAACCATCAAATCTGATACAGAACTTTTTGGTGGTCAAAAATGGCCAAATGAGTATGAATATTGCTGGCGTGAGGATAGCCAGTCATTTCTAGGGATATCGCTGTTATAAGTTGTTTTTTCGTTCCAGAAATTCAAAATACCTGTGGTCATGTCGAATCATCCTAGCGCAGATGATTCAGTTAATGTCCTCACCAAGGAAGGTCATCCGGTCATGGCCATTTGCAATGGGTTGCACATCGTTATACAAGTATTGAGACGATGAGCTCATATCCACCTTCAGAATTCGCGAATCAGCTCTCTGAATGGAATTTTCTCACAATTTTTTCTTGCAGGCGCGCTGGTGCCCAGGGGCCGGCACACGCTGGTGCAAAGGGCCGGAACCTGTAGTACGCGACATAATCAACTTCGAGCGAAACGGGTGTAATATTTGTGTTCAGTTGGTCAAATGACCTCCAGGAGAGGCAATCCAGCAAAACCTGAGGTTTTGAGGTCTCAACTTCGAAATTAGTTGATTTGGGTTAGTTACTCCATTCAGAGAACTTTTCGCTAATTTAGAAGGTACATTTGGGTTAATCGTCTTAAAAGGCGTACAACGGTCTGCACCTCATTGCAAATGGTCCTGTTGACCTTCCCTGAACAGTAATTTACTTGCAGCGGGACAATGAATTTCACCCTACCCCCGCTTTGTTTTATCCCGTTTCTTCCTTTGATCCAGGTTCGAAATATGGTACTTGGTCTGAATATTTGATACAAACATTTATAATTCTTGAATCTCCATGAAGTCGAAAGCTGTAAGAAATAAACTCTTTGTTCCAGGGTTACATAATGGCGTCGATTCTTCGTTCGACA